TCGGTGTGGACAGATTGAAGTGAATTTGTTGGGCGGTGTCAACGCGAGTTTATTTTTTTTTTGCATTACAGTCTTCGTAAGGTTACTCATTAGACATCTGTATTCTTTGACAGGGATAGACTTGACTCTCCACCAAAGGAGGGGGTGGGACCGGATGTCTGCGTAGAAACACGCCCTGAATCAGAATAGATCTTCATTTTCGTTCCTTTATAAAGCGGAGTCTGGCACGATGGCAAGCCGACGTTCCCGGGGGAACGTCGGTCGCCGGGAATCGTGATGCCGCTGAGCTGCAGGCGTCAACCGAGTGCTTGGGAAACCTCGCAGCCACAGCAGAGGAGCATATGCTGGGCTCCTTGCTGTGAAGAGGCAATGCAGGCTTTCAAGAGAGAATGTCTCTCTTCTGGACAAATAACAGCAATTGAACGCAATCGGTCATTACACTGACCCTCCAGAGGAAAACATACATCCTATGTTAAAACCTTAATTTTCATCATGGCAAAAAGGTCACAAAGATATCATAGGTGGTGTTGATGCCAGTGTCCTGTCTTCATAGAAGAGAGATCAAAGGTCATTTCCTGAAATGTTGCCTATTGTTCTATTTAGTTTCTCTTTAGAGCAGCGCTGGTCGCGAGATGTTAACTACCTCACCTGGTATACAGGAGGTCGTGGGTTCGATCCTGACCCTGACGCCTGCTGCTGTATATTTGGAGTTTGAATGTTCTCCCCGTGGTCAAGTGGATTTTTCTCTGGGTCTTCCGGTTTTTCCCTCCACATTTAGAAATATGCTTTTAGAGTATTTGGTTGCGATACGTTTCCACGTGATAAGCCACTTCATTGAGCTATCATTTGTGGCCAGGTCGCTTCTGAAAAAGAGCTACATCGCTCAGTGGGCCTTACCTGGTCAAATAAAAAAAATAGTTTAGTTTATTGACATGTGTAGGTTCATTCCAGGCGGTGGTTATTTTGTACCGAATTTCACTTCGCGTTGTTTTCCCTACGCCTCTTTAGGCCCGAGGCTCCCACGCGAAACAGAGAGTGTCTCCCAAGGCCCCCCTCGTCTGGTTGCAAATAAATTATATTGCCTCTCATCAAATCGCAGAGGTTTCCATTCATGACCGGTAATGTATCATTCAGTCTCTGAAAGTACATTATATTAAGATGGTAATTTCGCAAATTGCATCGCTAATTGGCAATCAAGAATGTAAATGTTTTAAGAAATTAACCACATCGTTAGCGGTCGATGCAGCCAAGCACCTCTACGAAATCGTTGCAATGAATGCGACGTCACTGGTAGATCAGCGGTTTGCTGGATTGTGCGGAGGGGCATTTGGCTCTCCGTGGTAATGTGGAATTTTCACTTTTGGTTCAGAGGTGCCAATGGATCCGTGATACTTTGACTTAAAAAAAATGACATTCAGATGTTCCCCCAGGGCCAAGTCTTCTGGCCACATTTTGGCTCCGCGAATCTCGAGGCCTCGGCCACACCACTTGCATATGCAATAACGCGAGTGGCCGTGAGCTGACTCTCATTTGCATGGGGCTCGTCACCACGAGAAGCCTCAGGCAAGCAGATCAATCAAGTCACTCACACCCAGGTCAGACGCAATAACCACTCAGCCTCACTCGTATATATATATATATATATTTCTTTATTTATTTCCTTGTTAGACTTTTGCTTGCAGCCAAGGGGTAACTTGACATATGCAAATGATCGCGGGAAAGGTGGCACGGTGTGTTTGAGTGCTGCCGATGAATGGCACGCAGGACACTGTACGTGTCATCGCGTGCATCGTGTGGCATTAGGGGAAGGGGGGCCATGCAGTGGTTGGTGGTGGCTTTGGGGGGGGAGGGGAGGGGAGGGGTGGGGTGAGGTGGGGGGGGAGGTGGAAGAGAAAAGGTTTGCTGCAATCTTTGTGAACGTCGCTTCGCCCCCCCACCAGCCCCCCCCCACCAGCTCCCCCCCCCCCCCCACCAGCCCCCCCCCCCCCCCACCAGCCCCCCCCACTCATCTCTGCACCACCCCCACTGCTCCATCCCCCATCAAAGCAGCCTGCACAGGTTGTAAGTGGCATATTGAAAGGTTTCATGAAATATTATATGCAAATGAATATCCTTGAGCTATTGAAGCAAGGTCAGCGTCTGGTTTCTCTCCCAGGTCAGACGCTAAGCCGCGCATGGTATATTGCTTATGACGCTAAGCCTGGCCCGCAGTCCAGATTACAAGCTCTTATCAACGGTTAAGCACTGTAATCCCCAGACAGGTCATTTTGGCAAGCTGAGCAGATCAAAGATGGACACCCCCCCCCCCCCAAGTCTGTGTCGTTACCATGCGAGGCCGGATACGCGGCAGCAGCGGCGGCGGCGGCGGCGGTGCGCTGGGAAGATGCGGTGTGGCGGGGGGAGCGCGCGGTGTGAAGGGAAGGAGCTCGTTTTGACGAAGGTGTTCGTGAGATATGGAGACAACGCCACGCATCTGCCATTCACCCCCCCCCCCCCCCCGCCGCTTCCCGCTGTCTCGCGTGTGGAATTCCTCGCGCCCAGCGCTGCTTTGTTGAGCGCCGAAGTTTGACGATTTGTTCGGGTTATTCCCAGATTTAAAATATATATCACATCCCTCAGATAGCCGAGGGCTTCGATATTGCGGTCGACTAATTAATGCCGGTAACAGACGGATGGATCGGTTGTAAAAACGTAATGGGTTTATAATTTACAGAGCGTAACGGAGTTGCCGAATCTGAATCACCCAGTTGCTAAATCTATCGAAAAAACCTCGCAAAAATGTCGTTTGGTTCCAAATATTGTCACGTTCCAGCAGCATATAGAACGTTTGTCAATACGCACATTTAATGCTAGATACTGCAGCTATTCCAGTGATACCTCAGCTGGGCAGAGAGAAAGACCAATTAATACATCCTGAATGTCGTCAACGAGAGAAGAACCATGATGGGCGTCATCAGAGAGGAACTGGAATGGACACGTCCTTTAGAGGGGACGCTTTAATGATGATCAACGCTCTTCCTTCCGATATTAGGAAGCCACTGGAGCCAAATTTAGATTGAAAACTCATTTCTTCCGAACTGATTTTTGCGTTTAGTTTGTTGTCCTTTCCCCCACACCTCCGATTAGCACGGTTGGCTACGTATGGTGCGAAAGAAGTTCAACGTATATACATACATACAAAGTAGAAGGGAAGAGAATGAGAGTCAGGCCAGGGATTGGGATGCTGGGGGAGCTGAGGAAGAGGGGGCGATTGCGGGAATGAAGACGAGGTCAGAGGGCAGAAGGGGAGGATGGAGACTGGCAGCCACGGGCCTGCCGTGAAGGCCTCCCGAGCACTCGAGAAGAAACTTCGGAGTCACGTGGAATGATTTCGCCTTTTCTTTCCTGTAGCACCCATACCGAATGTCAAGGTAAAGACGCAGCCCTGCAATGCCTTGCTTACCCCACCGCTGGCAGAAGGGCCTCGGCTAAAGGGAAATCTGGGGAGGCCAGACATCACCATTGGAACCTCATTTGCCAGTAAAAAATATGATAATTGTTTTTTTACCCTTCTATCTGGCAACAAAACTGACACCTTTTTTACAAGGAGTCATGTTTGCATAGACCACAATACCTGCAGTCAGTTTTTTGTTTGCATTATGACTGCAGGTATTGTGGTCTATGCAAACATAACTCCTTGTAAAAAAGGTGTCAGTTTTGTTGCCAGATAGAAGGGTAAAAAAACAATTATCAGGCCAGACATCGTGAAGGGGGTGGATCACTCAAACTTTACCCCACCACGCGTGACCTGTTGATTGACTAACTGCAATGAACCCACTTATAATGCCGTGTACGCAAAGGCGGTGGTGCGTGTGTGTGTGTGGGGGGGGGTTAAGAAACCCGCAACTGCTGTGTCACCAGGGGATGGAATCCAACCGGTGGCCTCTGCATTGCGAAGCCGTTGCTCGGCCGTGGCATTGGGATCCCAAGCGGTCATTGCTCTTCTCATTAATTCGTCTATCACAAAATTGAATCACTCCCGAGGCAATCGAGAATCTGAAGCATTTAATTATTTATTATCGCGGATTGAACAGCTGTGAGATTCACAAATGCATTTGTTGTGGAGGCTGATAAATAATACGGCCGACTGCAGGGGCTATTTTTATGTAAATGGTTTTATTACGCATCTCATTTTTGTATGTATTGTACGCGATGTTGAAGGGTTTCTTTCGCCCCAACTTTTTCAAACAAGTTGCGCCAGTTTACATTGTCTGCATTTATTCATCTTTTAATTTAGTTTTGCATTATATTGTTATTGTTTTTCGGTGACAAACCTACACCAGCCTCTTCCTTTGCATCACCCCGAGGTCTCCCTTGCGACACAGACGACGATGATGATGGTGGTGGTGGGAAGTGTTGTCACTCTGTGTGTATTGTTGGGGGGCGCACGTCAGGGGCCGCGCTCAAGGCCACCAGGGGGGCCGCCAGTGGCCCGCGGGGGCCTTGCGATGAAGAACGACGTCCTAGATAGCTCTCCAGCTAATTATTAAATAACCCGTCTTCCCTACCTCGTTATACAAAGACAAAGACCCCCCGTATAGCCTTAACATTCTGTTGGGGAAAGTGCTGATAGCGAGCACCTATTCAGGCCGAGACGGTACACGGGGGGGTGGGTGGCCAGCACTACGCCCGTCCGCCTTTGTCTCCCCAGTGGCGATGTTTACACACCAAACCAGGAACTCATTTGAGGCTTAGTCGACCTTGGAGTGGCCCAGGGCAGATTGCGATATTTGGGATCGAACTCAGGCCACCGGATTCGCAACTCGTGGACAGCTGTCGGGCGGTGTTCGGTGACTTGTCACTTCGCAGCATTGTGAGGGATGGCGGTGTATTGACGAAGACCGATTGTGACGATGACGGTGATGGCCTTGACGATCGTAGTATTACGGCCGTACCGCGGCAACCGCCGGCAGGAGCGTGCGGTGGACGCGTGCCCAACGGTGGTGGCGCTTGCCTTGCAGAACGCCGTGCGCCACAACCTGAGCCTGCACAAGTGCTTCGTGCGAGTGGAGAACGTGAAGGGCGCCGTGTGGACCGTGGACGAGATGGAGTTTCAGAAGCGACGGCCGCAGAAAATGACCGGGTGAGTGGGGGGCGCTGCGTCATTTGCGACAGCCAGGTCGCTTCTGAAAAAGCTTAAAAAGACCTATACGGCTCAGTGGGACCTTACCTGGTAAAATAAAAAATAGTTTATAATAATAGTAGCAATGGCGAAGGTGCAGCCCGGCAATTGCTTTCTCGCTCCACTTTTGGCACAAGAACCTCAACAAGGAGAGAGCTCGAGAGGGACCTCAAGCGCCTATTTTTGGCCTACTCTTCCACGATATCTTGGGAAGTTGTGGGGAGTGCCCACAGTTTACCCCACCTCCCGAGACGCCAACTGTGGAGTGCAGTGCTGGGTGGGCAGGGTCAGTGGCAATGTGGAAGCCTCGACAAAGAGGAGTAGAAGAAGGCCTCGAGCCTGGACATGGTCCTGCAATAAATAGGGACAGAGAGGTGATGGTACGGATGGCTGGGGGAATGCAGCTCTCAACAATTGGAGCAGTGGAGGAGAAGGAGCGATCAATTGCTAGAGCAGAGGAGAGTAAAGTGAGATGAGAGGGGAGAGGTAGGAGAGTGCGGGAAGGGGAGTAGAGTGAGATGAGAGGGAAGAGATAGGAGAGTGAGTGGAGTGGAATTGAGTGAGATGAGAGGGGAGAGGTATGCAAGGGTGTGTCTATGGAAGATCTTGGAAGACGGTGAGAGTGGCGATGTAGAAGTTGACTTACCGAGCGAGTCATTCATCTATTTTGTGTAGCTTTTGTGCAAATGGTGACAGCGGCTTTTGGCAAGCTATAGAACAAATACGGCATTGTGCGCTTTCAGATGCGATTCTGCGGCCGTCTGGAACGCTCTTCCAATATTAGGAAACCACTGGAGCTATGCACGTTACAGGAGGGATGTTGGCAGTGACGAACGCACTGGGATCACTGTCCACTGTCACGGATGCCTGCCAAGTACATCGCGGCATGGCGTAGAGTGATGTTTGTTGTTTAAACACTGGCTGGAATACACGCCAGTACCGTTGACATGAACAACATTGGCTTACAACAGAGAGATGTGTATAGCAGAGTAAGATATTTATATGGTGGAATAACTCCTGTGGCAAGTATGCAGGCATCTTGCTTGAATTATTATTATTATCGAAAAACATTTTTCCATTTGATTATAATAACAATAATTCCAATTGATTTACCCCCGGAAAGCAAGCTGGTAGGTCAGTGAACGGGCCCGAAGTTATGAAAGCGTGGTACTGTTCGATCCCAAAAGGATGTAGACCACGCTGTTCGTGCGCACAAAAAGAACAACAACAACTGCCTAAACATTGAAGAAAGAATACAGGAAATGTATCATTTTCCCCGAATATGTCTTCGTACTTAAATTGGCTCATGGAATCTATATACAATCTATGACACCGGCTAAACGTATACAACCGTGCGATGCACGCGTTACTGATATTCAATTGTATTCGATGTAAAACCCATCCCGATTAAATGCGCCTTATTTCCACGTGTGCACATCCGCATTGTGTTTGTGTGGTTGTGGGGGTGGCGGTGTGGCGCTACAACACCCACTGCACCGATCTCCACTCGCCCCGGTACAATTCCTGGCCGTAATCAACAGCACGTGCGTCGCTTGGCGTCTGAACCTGGCCAGTACCTCCCTTCAAGTCGACCCGACTTAACATTGATGCTCCCTGACGTGTATTGACATCGTCACTGGGGAGACAAAGGTGGCTCGTGGCGCACGGTGCCAGCCACACCGCGCCACACGCCTGTGCCCACGACGGTCTTTGTCGCGGCTAAGACGAGCGCGTTTGTTCACGCGCGCGCACCGTATTTGTTCACACGCGGTGCAGTTTATTTATTCCCCGGATGATTCCTATGCTCTCTCGGAGCTCTGGGTGTTTATTAACAAGGCAATTCGTGAGTGTCCCGAGAGCGTGTTCCCACTTAATTCCGTACAGACGCGTATTAATATTTCTTTAATCAAAATCAATTGCTCGAGCGAGCGTCGGATTACTTCCAGGGACGGGCCGCCAACGGCACGCGCCCCCTGATCGTGCGTCGCTCGGCTCTAAATGCGCGCCTTTTACCCCCCCACCCAGCCCCCCCTCCTCGTTCCCTGGCACCCGCACGCAGGCACACACACGTGCGTGCGTGCGTGTGTGCGTGCACGTGTGTGTGTGTGTGCGTGTGTGCGTGCGTGCGTGCGCCACAAGTGCCGCCTGCGTTTTGTTATGGAAAGAAATAAATAATTGCCGCCCCTCCCAGCCCGCAATGGCACAAACTGCATATTTACTTGTCAGATTGTAAAAATGCAATTGGATTTAATGCACCTGTCAAATTTACAACGGCGCCGTTCCAAGATTCATGTGCGCGCCGCGTGTCAGGCGGCGATAATGAAAAGCACAAACGATCGCCCGGCTCCGTTCAATCGCGCCGATGTGCATTTAAAGAGCGCGCGTGCGCCCCTAATAAAGCTCTCGCGCCTTTACTCCCATCGCGCCCCTTCCTGCGCGTGTGCGTCGGAACACGTAGCTCGTTCGGACGCGGCCCGCTTGATTTACGGAGTGCGATCTCCGGCCGTGTTTGTTTGTGTGTCTGCGTGCGCGTCTCTGGTGCAGGAGCCCTTCACTCGTGAAATCTATGCAGACCGGACTGGGATACGGAGCTGCGTTAAATGCAAGTTTGCAGGTCAGTTGTTACATCCAGCAACATCAGGTCATCATCATCATCAGCAGCAGCAGCAGCAGCATCATCTTAAATAGCTCTCCCACGTGTTCTTTGGGTTGTACCGCGTGTTGCTCAGCATCATGTCCGACGTTTTTCGCTCCGGAAGCTTCTTCAGGAACTGAATCTATTTCCTCCTGGTAGAGGTGAGTAGGAAGCGTCCTTTAGCATGTGGAGCGAAACGTCGGACATCGCGCCGAGCAACAACACGCAGTTCAACCCGAAAACCCGTCGGAGATCTCTACAGCACAGACACAAAAGCGCAAAAGCCTCCGCAGTAGTATCGTCATCATTTATATTTTATTAACGCCAGGTGAGAGCCCATTGAGACTAGAAATCTCTTTTTCAAGGCATACCTGGTTCAAAAGAGCACCAATGGTTAAAGGCAGGGCGAAAGACCATCACACAGAGTGTGAAGCATCGTCATCAGCATCACCGTCGATAACTTTTTTACAGAGCACTTAACAAGCAGATGAAATTTCACCATCTCGAATGAACATTGTGTCCACGAAGCATACTGCCATTTCTTGAAAGAAACTAACACGCGGGGTGTCCCTGAAAAACAGATGCACATCTTAGTGGGTTCTCTCGTGTTTGAAGTTTGATCAGTAGTAACAACGACAACAAGTTTGATCAATATAACGTCGACAACAAGACTAATTCCTTACAACCCTTTGTCAATCCACTGCTGAATGAAGGCCTCCCAATGCTGTGTCAGTCATGGGGTTGTTGGACCATACTTCACCATGCTGGTCAGTACGGGTTGGCGTCGGGGTGGGCCAAAAGCAAACGGTTCAGATAACATTCACCACCGTGGCTGGAAATCGAACTCGGGTCAATGAATGGGTGCAAAACACAGTGCGCTAACCGCTGTGCCACCACTCCGCCTTAGTCTTAATGCTGTCCTCAAAGTATGGAAATCACCAATGATTAAAAACTGGAAACTGTTATTACAATTAGTCATGGAGAAATGATACCACTTCTTTATTAATGCGGTAAATTCTCACTGGGTATCATGGTTCTATGTGAACCAGAGTGCCTGCAGAATGCCCACATAATCGAGGGGATGACACTGAAACACACCTATAGGCGGGTGATTAAAATACGAATTCATAACAAATTCCACCGCCGTTGGTAATTTGCGACAATGTCTCAGGGCCATAATGAAGGTTTTTGTTGTAAATGTTGTGGGTTTATTCTCCAACACAGCAGTGTGCTGAAGTTGTTACTCATTGGCATGTTTTGTTTACGTGACAAATTGGTGTGGGTTAACGACACGTTTCTATTTACGCGATTTATCCACTAAAAAATGATTTTATTATTAATAATATTGGTTGAGAAAGCCTACCACGTGTTCAAATGTTTGAGGGCCACAAATAGGATTGAACTCTGGCCATTGTCCACGTGGATGTGGAGACATGTAACAAGTAATGATATCCCTGCTGGAGCTTGAGCACACGTGTTATCGATGGGAAATGAGAATATTAAGATAGGGAAGTTGCAGAGCGACCTTCGAGGAAGCTCCTGAATGTTGCATGCAGGGTAATAATGCTTAGAGAGGCCCGGCATTCCTCGAGGAGATAAGGATGCGCAACGAGGAAGTTCAGAGTAGAACTTGGGATATGTGTGGTAGGGAGGAAGAGCAGAATACCAGTGAAGGAATTGCGGCGGTTTCTCCGCACACGGGACAAAGTAGGACCACTGATGCCAGAAAGGAGTAAACTTTAAGTCTGGAGTTTGGAGAGCAAATTGCTGCTTTCATGCAACTACAGGATCTGTCAGGAGGTGGGAAGCAATCACAGGAATGTGTGAACGTCAGCGGCGATGGTGCTGTTGAAGAGTAGCTGGAGCCAAGGAGCGATTGAGACGCTCACCTTGCCGTGCCCGGTTGATTGAGAGTTTTGTTTTTTTCTCCAAGATACTGCAGTAGGGGTAAAAGTAACAAAAGGTCACGCGATCCTCATTCCCAGCTGCCACAATCTGCGCTAAAGCACCGGCACCGGTACAATGCGTGAACGCCGGCGGGGAGACAAACGCGGCGGCGGCGGCACGCGTTCTGCCCCGACGACGCAATAGGCGCCCGTCCCAAATAGCCGTCGGAAAAAGGAAGACAGCCTTTTGTCTGCTCCGCAGCAGTAACGCTCGGTTGTGCGACCGCGGCTGCTTGAACGCACCACCCGACAAAGCGGAGGCACCAGCTGCGTCTGAGCGGCGGAACTCGTTCACTCGCTCGGAGCGAGCGAGAGCCTTTCCCGAGCCCACGCACCGCTCATATGCAAACATGATTCCGATTGATACCGCACACTTTTACTTTAAGCTTAAATAAGGGCACTGTATGTCGCACTTAGCCTGGCATGAATGTTAGATAAGTTAGTAGCCTTCCCGTTGGCATTGATTACGTTAAGCGTGGGTGACGTAGCGGTTAGCAGACACCGCGCTTCGAACCCGGCGCCCCGAGTTCGATTCCCGCTCACTCTCAACATCAGTGACCAATATCTGAACAGGTCCTGGGCCTCTCCTATAGGCCGACTGAGTGTTAAGTGAGTACCTGGTGTGGCGGTGCGTTAACGTCAGCACCGGGGAAACCAACGGGGCGAGTGTGTGGTGCTGGCCCCCTCACCCGTTGTGGGCCGTGCCAGCCTTCGTAGGCGCTACTCGCTAGCAGCAATTGCCACTTGCCACAGCTGCCTTTTTTTGTGTGGGGATTGGTGGTGCAGTGGTTCACACACTGCGATATGATCCCATGAGCCAGGTTCAATCCCTGGCCTTGCACAGCATCAGGCGGTCAAGTCACACTTAACCCAGTCCTGGCCTCTGCTACGTTAACTCTGCATTAGCACGTGGCAGATTAACATCAGTGTTACGCAGACACAGGTCGCCAGGCATAGCGGTGGCTATAACATCCCTGCATGGGCCGTGCTGGACATGATATGTCCTCGCTAACAGCACTGCGTTTCAACATTGATCAAGGATGTGTGAGTGAATGTATGATGCGCGTATGTTGGTGTGTGTGTATGTTTGTGTCACTTTGTGCGTTGATGTGTACGGCGTTCCATTTCATTAAGGACATTATCGTCCGTAAAATGTCATACCCCTTAAACGAAAATGGGCATTATTTATGAACGCAATCACGGCTCGGTTACATTAGCGATACGCCAAAAGACAGACCAAAAAATTGTTCTAAATGTTCCAAAGCCAAGGGTTCTATTATTACCCATTCCCTTTTCATCTAAATATAGCGGAGGGATAATTATAAAGGTGATGTGGTGCCTGGTGGTCCTTGTGACACTATCGGTGCTTAATTATTAACGAGAAACCCTGCACACTATTGGAATCACATTGCTCCTTACGGATTATCTACGTTGTATATTCCACTGCACAAATCAAACGAACGCTTTTTATCATTCCCAATTAATACGTTTGAAGAAACGTATTTTCGTTGTGTTTAATGGAGTAGAATGTCACGTGTGAATTAAGTCGCGTTCATACAAACAATCGGTTAACTATTTGTGCCATTATTATTTGCAGCCCGTTGTCAATTCCACTGCTGGATAAAGGCCTCCCCCACACCATTGTCAGTCATGGGGGTTGTTTGACCATACTTCACCACAATGGTCAGTACAGATTTTGAGAATGGGGGGTGGGCCAGAGCTGGTTCAGATGACATTCACCGCGATGTTAGCTCAACGGTGGCTAGGAAATCAAATTCACCTCGCAGGATTCATTGCACAGTGCGCTAACTCCTGTGCCGCCACTCCCCCTATAGATATTTCGAACCAAGGGTGGGACATTGCTAAGTCAAGGTCCAGAGGTCATCACGGCCAATGCTGCTGATGCCATCGTTTTCTTCCTTAATAACATTTATTTATCTTGCACTATATCATTCCAAATATTCTGAGACTCTTTGAACCCTCGGTTGTTGCAGAGTCAACACAACGTCCAAGGACTGTCATATCTCACAATGTTTACAAACGTGTGGCAGGAGCCGTGGCTTTATTTAGAACAGGCAAGAGCCAACAAACATCGCGTATCTTTTGAAAGGGAGACCTGGGGTATTATTATTTTTAAAATATATATGTTGTATAAACTAGTTTAGCTCAGACAATTTTGTGAATTCCACATTTATATGGAGTTGATGAGTTTCTTCGTGGAAAATTTTGTTTAGCTTTTCACAAATCGGTGGTTGTATACTGATGGGGCCCTGCCATCTAAATCACTCTATTTTTGTTACCGCTTTCTAAACCTGTGAAGCGCCTTGCCTTAAGGCACTCTTTAAACATGAAACAAGATAAGAGTCGAACCCCAACAAGGATTTGAACTCGCAAACCGCCTGATTGCGAGGTCAATGTGTTTCAACTGATGCCTCACTCTGTAATGTGTGTACATAGTGTATGTAGCCAAACACATCCCCACGTCACCAGCTGCACGTTGACACAAAGATCACCGTCCTACTTTCTTTAATAACCGAGATCTCTTTGTCCAAACAAACAGACAGATACAAAGACGTAATGACAGAATGTGAAAAACGGCTTTGGAACACTCCTTAAGAGCATCCGTTATCTCTATTTTATTTTCAATTAAAAGTCTCGCCCCCGTTACCCATGTTTTTTTGGTTTTAATCGGTGGTTGTAGCAGCATCTCAGGCACACTGACAAATAAATTGTACCGTCATTGTCAGCTGAAATAACCGCACGAGCAGTCCTCCGCATGCGAGGACCACGACTAGCGGTGTCAAAGTGGCCACCGAGGATTAGATTCACCAACATACAAAGACAAAGATCCCCCGTATAGCCTTAACAGACTGTTGAGGCAAGTGCTGTTAGTGAGTAGCACCTATGAAGGCCGGAACAGCACACGAGGGGGTGGGTAGCCAGCACCACGCCTGACTGCCTTTGTCTCCCCAGTAGCGATGCTTGCACACAGCACCAGGTACTCATTTGAGGCTGAGTTGGCCTAGCGGAGGTCCACGAGCAGTTCAGACAATGCTCACTGGTGTTGGCCGTGAGCAGGAATCGAACTGGGGTTCGCTGGATTCGTAGCGCAGCGTGCTAACCGCACACACACACATGCAGTAACACGAATGTGTGCAGCGCACGGAGCATTGCATGCGGGGCATTAGGCATTCTTCAGTGACCCCAACGCTTTTGGCCATAATGTGCCATGACAGCTCCTGTTTATGATGATGCTCCTGATTGAAGAGTGGTCGGCCACCATGAAATTTTCACGCAAATGAAGGCGCGGTCCTGAAAATTTAATACGCGCGGAGCACTCTGATTAAATTGTAGCCAAAGTTTGCAAGCGGCGTGGTCAGCGCACGCCCTATCACGGTGTGTACCGTCTCGGCCCCGCGACGCGGAGCTAAACAACACCCCTTTGTTTTAATCGTGGGCATCCGCGCAGAGTCTCAAGCCCCTCCGTGTCTTCTCAGGAGGGTCCTGCTTGTGCATTGTGCGACACCTGGCCAAGTGTTTTTTGAGCCACCAGCCCAAGATAAAACGACGACACCACTGCGAGAACACTGCCGGCCGCTTGCGAGTGGGAAAGCGCCCCGCATCCACCGTGCGCAGAGCTCGGCAGCCTACTTCCTGTACTGCCTCGACTCGCGGTGGTCGAAACGACGGCTTCTGTGGCCTCCTGGCAGTCTAAATGGGGCCGACCGCAATCAGTCGGTCGATCGGCAGGTCGCGCGTGTGGCGGGGTAAAGCGTGGGCACTCCCACCTCTCTCAAGACGTCTGGCCAGCGTAGAAGAGT